TCGAATTGCTCAGAAGAAGCCGCGCACCATCTCCACTCAGATGGTCCACGCAGCCTCCTTTTATATCTCGTGATACGTTCGCCACGCCTCCAATTCTCGGCGTCAGCGGAGACTTCATAATAAGCTTAAATTACATGAATGCTCCATTTAATTAATTGTATTTTATTACATTTTTTTAAATTAAAATTGACAAGACACCGTAATTATGATTTCAAACTTAGATTGATTTTTATTCACATGATCTACACAATTATCAATTTTGTTTTATATTTTACATGCAATTAAAAATAGAATGAAAATGAATAAATAACTATTGTAAATGAAATTTTTTTAAATAAAATACTCAATAAATTAAAAAATATAATTAAACATTAATATTTATTTTAATGCAGTTAATTTTAAATATTAAAAGCATCTATAGGCAAAAAAATCAATGTAAATATTGTAATATGTTATTATTTTTTTTTATTTTGTTAAAAAAATTTAAATTAAATTTAAAAACTTTATACTATGAAATACTTTTAAACGCTCAATCTAGTTTCTCGCTTTACTGGTTCGCAAAACCGATCATTGGCCAAGTGTTTGCGCGCAAATGAGGTTGCATATCAACACCGATCGATCTTTCTCTCTGCGCTTTGCAAGCTGCGTCTCGAATGTGAAATTAATTAGGCAGGTGAAACGCGTCCAAAAACGGTTAATCCGCCGTCGGCAGCGAGCATCATATTCCGTATATGTCCGCATCCAGCAGTTGACATTCCAAAAGGGAATGGCGCGGCGACCCGAAGCGGTAGATAAAGTGCGTGCGCGGTTGACCGTTACGAGGAGCGCTAAAAGCAGTACCTGAGATTACAGAGCATAGAAAAAGGATGCGGGCTCTCTCTGTGAACAAAATACTCCGGCGTGATGAAAAAGCATTTTTAATTTTATGGAGAGACATACATGAAATGTCGAAAATGGAGGAGATGGTGTAGGATGCGCAGCAATTAAGGTGTCACCTGGATTTTTTTCTAACTGCGTGGGGGGCAGCTTAAATTCTATTAGAGTGCAGTGCCGACGAACGACCCATCATTCTCACAGCTCTGGTCCACGCGGGGGGCAAAGTGGTGCTCGCTCTCTTTGTCGCCGCTGCTGCTTTTTGCTCTCTCGATCACGCCTCGGCCTGGTGCTCATGCATCCTGACTATGCTTTTCTCTCTCCAGCAATTACATCCCATTAGGGAACTCTTATCAGCAACTAAGCGTCGCTTATACCTTTAGGGTTTATGTATTTTTTATGCTTCTTGCACAGCGACCAGTTTAATTGCAGTGCAGCTGCTCTGTTAAGATTTTGTAAACAGTTCTGTGAAAAAGAGTTGATATATTTTATAAACGCTTTTTGTAAAGTAATTTATATAAAATGCATTATTTAAATATTATTTTTACTTAAATTTTGAAATAATTGACACATTACAATTTTATGTTATTAAAATTTACTTTTCAAAATTTTCTAAATTTTAATTTAAAATTTATTTTTAATTAATAATTACTATAAATAAATATAATAAGTGATAAAAACAAATGAGAAATAACGCGCGTTTATTATGAATTTCATAATGAGAAATTCAACGAAGATATCATTTTCTACAGTTTTGTGTAATATTTGATTATTTTGATATTAAATTCAACTTTTCATCAATGCAGTCGTTGATTGTTTTGAAGAAAACCAATATCCTGCCCTAGGCGCCAAAGCAATAAAGGATTGTCAAGGATAAGCCAATTACATTTCAATACAAATACAGAAGCACTGTGACCCTTGCGTGTGAGATATTTTAACGCAAAGAGTTAAAATCAGTCGCAAAAATTTCAGATCGTAGCAAAATGATGCGATGAAAATAAAATATAAATTCTATTTTCTTCTAATTCCACTAATTATTTTGTTCAAGCATTATAGCTTCCAAAAATGTTTGAGGCTTAATAATTTTGTAGTTTATAATTTTAATTTTCAGCTTGAAAAAAAGTAAATAAAATACGGATTGTTTAAAAAAAAAAGCTTCAAGCAATATTTTTTCTACTGATAATATTCATTTGATTGAGTCATTTTCATCACCTCTATATAGGTGCGAATTGAGCAACTCTTTTTGCGATATAATTTATTCAGATCCACAATAGAAAAGATTCATTATAATATAGATGAGCGCGTTTGAGAGAGCGTGGGAGAATTTTTGAGCGCGGCGACAATTTGCATATGAGGTGCGCATCAGCCGCGGATCGACTGACATGTCACCTGACTAGCTGCGACTTCATTTATCGTGATGACCAAAAGGGATGTGTATGTGTGTGACTGATCATGAGAAAATTATCGGGAGCGCTCTCACCGACAAAAGAGCGGGCCACATTTGTATTTGCATATTTGTCGCAGGAAATCATTTCTCAAGAAAGTGCGTCGCAAAAGATCAATAAAATATATAGAAAATTGAGACGAGGGGCAGGTGCTCATCAAATATTCCATTTTCCGATGTGCAGCGGCAAAAGCACCTTTTCTTTTCGTTCACACGTGCACTGCGGGTGCTTGTGAGAAAATTTCTCCACGCGATTGCCTCGGCAGGGTCATCTTCGGGTGATCAAAACGAATTTAAAATGTGCAGTGCATTTCGGAGAAAGTAAATAAAAATAAAACCGTGACCGGTATATATGCAAAGTAAAATACCCGCACAATAGATCCAGGAAGTTGAATAAGTTGATCGTAAATTTTAAATAAAAAAATGTTAATTAGATTTTAAATTTCAGTTGCGCTGTTCTCTATAATTTTTTAATTCTTAATTCCAGATAAATCCGTAAATTTTAGAATAAAAAATATTTTGATTTAACTCTTGTTGAACTTTGCATAATGTAAAAGTGCACAAGTCGTGAACTCATTAGCGCAATAACAATAATGCGCCTCGTATTGGCAAATCAGCAGCGACTCGTTGCTGCAATCGCCCGTCTTCAGTATAATTATTTACAGTTCATTAACGGTCACCTCTGATTGATAAAAGCACGCGTGAAAGCACTTACAATTAGCGTTGCAAATCAAAATTCAAATAGTTTTACGCCACTGAAATAATTTTTATAAAGCTTAGAGATTATAAGGAAAATGTGGCGATGAATAATTATTTTTTTATTTTTAATTCCGAGTAAAATTTGTTTAAACTTGCATGTGATTACTATAGGCTCGTGCATTTTAGTCGGTTTTTAGGGGTCAAAAAGTTGACTATTTTTAGTTGATTTTACATAAATTTAGTCGTCTTTTTAGCTGGTTTTGGCCAAAATAGTCGGTTTTAGTCGATTTTTTTAAAATCGGATTTTTACATGAAAATAATCTTTTAATCGATTTTTTAGGATTGCATTATTGAATCTCCATTTTTGGAATCATGAATAATATTTTATCACCCATTTTTCATCATTTTCAAATTTCCTAGCTAGGATACAATTGCTGAAACCGTTGAATTTTTGCAAATATTGTTATGAAATAAATTTTTTGAAAATAGTTTCACAGGGTTATTTGATTAAATGCATGTTTTGTTTGATATTTGTGAACAAAATTTATATCTTGTCATAAAATTATGATTATAATGCTCTAAAAATGCTCAAAAACATGTTTGTTCCTCTCTTGAAAATTATTAATTTTTCATCCATCCCATGTTTTATTCATTTTTTGTAATTTAAGATTATTAAATGCTACTTTCAGTCACTTGAAATAAAATCTGTATTTTAAAATTTTTCAAATAAATAAACCAAGCTTTTCAAAATATTTTTTGGCAAACATTTTGTTTCAAAGTCTGGAAAAACCTAGTTTTTGCTTAAAAAGTTGAAAAAGTCTGTCATTTTAGTCTGTTTTAGTGGCTTTAGTCGGAAATGGAATTAGTCGATTTTAAATAGGTGCCAATCGTAATTAAATCACTTAATTCATGCAGAAAATGCGTAACGTTCCGAGCGACTTGGAAAAAAAGTTGATCGACTAAAAAACACGAGCCTAGTGATTACAATGTGAACTTTACTTAAAAATTTTGCAAAACATTTTGTTTAGTTCGCGACAAAACAGCCCGAATTTTCTTTGGCATTTCATTCTTCAATTAAAGTGCAGATTTATATAATTAGGAGAAAATAAAATAAAAATAGCTTGACCAATTAGCTTGTGTGTCCAGCACTACGCACAAATGAGGAGAGTGATATATTGTGCTTCTTATCAACGGTGGAAGAGACCCGCGCGCGGCAGTTCCTGTCCGAGAGAGATAAAAAAGCAGCCGCCGCGCCGGGAGCGCAAATGAGAAGGAAAATAATTACGGCGACGCGGACGAGCAGCATATGCGGGAGGAAATCGAGTTTTTTCCTCCCGAGTGACGACGCGAGTAGATAAAATGCGCGCAAAGGATTCCGAAAGCCTTTGTTCTTGCAGCGACTGTCGTGATGCAGGCAGTTGTCCTCAATGATAACAAAAGGTGCTTATTTATTTTTCCGTGTGCAGCGATGGCACCTGAGTGTCCCTCTCTGTGTCCTCCTTCTCGCTGCGTGCGCGGGTGATAAGGGCTTGTCGCGGCCGGCGCTGCAGAGAAACTCTCCACACATGACAAGGGCGACGTGCAAGACACCGTCATGACGCACCGCCTCTTGAAATTATTGCAAAGCGTGCAACTTAATTTCATTAAAAGTAATTAAATAATAAAAATTTTATATAATTATTATATCTTAATTCTTTCATGGCAAGGAATAAGTTTATTTATTTATTTTTTGATCAAATTTATCGAGTGATATTTAATAAAAATTATAAATAGTTCAATCAAAATACCGTAAAATAAAAGTTTCACAATTGAAATAAATTAAATTATTGTTTTCAAATTTAATCATTACACATATAAGAGTTACCTCTGACTCAATATTACAGTCGACACATTTTTTGTTTTTTTGTTCTGGAGACGAACTCTTAAAAGCTAATTAACAATATTATAAAGCATGTGAACGAAATTAAATATAACTTGAGATAATTCAAATGACGTCGTATCCAAAAAGTCTTCGCAGGGCAGCACCCTCAGGATCTTCTTCGTTGCCGCTGTTGGTACTTTCGTCCGAGATGTCCGAAGTTCCACTTCCAAAAATGTCACTCATTGAGAGTGAATAATCTGAATCCCACATGCCTTCATCGTCAGAATTTTCCCCTTCCCTAAAAGATAATAATTCATACCTAGGTTAATATTTTAAATTATACTTTTTTATTTTACCAATAAAAAAACACAAGATTTCCATCGTCTTCTTCAGGGTCATCGTCGTCGCCATCAAAATCCAATAAGAAGTTGTCGTTGTCAGAATCAGATAAGTGGAATGCCTCATCCTCGTGGTCCTCAACTTGGTCCGACACACGCTGGTGTTGTTCCCACGCTTCAAATCTTCGCGAGGTGAACAGGAGGTCATTGTCTTGGTCAACAAGCTGAGAGCAAATTTCAACGTCATGGATCGTCACTGCCGCGGCGGCTGCTGTGGGTCTCGGCAGGCTCACACCCGTCGTCCTGGGAAGATCAATTTATTTAAATTTAAGATTTATTTCAATCAAATTTGAAACGAATAATACTTACCATTGGTTCTCCTCAACGTTGTACACGTCCACAGAATTGACGAATCCCATGTAGGTGACGCCGCCCAACAAGTAGATGAATTTGCCAACGACAGCCAATGCCATTTGACTTTTGGCTTCGGGCATCGGGGCAAGAAACATCCAAGTGTTCGTGGCCGGGTCGTAACGCTCCACGCTGCGGAGGTATCGAGTTCCGTCTAGTCCACCTGATAAGAAAAATAAAAAAATTTGCATAAATTTAAATTTTATAAAATATAGAAGATAAAATTTGATGCTTTTTTTTAATATATAAGTTTTAATGATTCTTGAATAAAAAAATCGAATAAATTTTTTTAGTTAAATCAATTTTTTCTTGTAAAAATTCTTACCAAAAACGTAGATGAGTCCGTTGTATTCTGTGCAAGCGGCGCTCCGGCGCGGCTCGTTTAGCTGAGCGACCAAACTCCACTCTCTCTTCACGGAGTCGAATTTCTCAACTTTGGGCAGTGTCCAGAAGCCGTCGAGCCCTCCGATGAGATAGACGCAGTGTCCGATGGTAACAGCTCCGGCTGAACTTCTGGGGTACTTTGACTTCGGGCCCACTGTCCACGTGTTTGATGCAGAATCGTAGAATTCAGTGGAGTTGCAGCCCACAAAGCAAAATTTAATTAAAAATTAATTTTTCATTAATTAAATATGTTGATGCATTAATGCACTCCATTAATTTTTCATTAATTTTGTGTGACGCTTTTTTTACAGTGTGGCATTAATGAACTCATTAATGAGCAACATTAATTACGCATCATTTCAAAATTATTTTTTAAATTAATACTGGTTTGCTCAAAATAGCTACTAATGTTTCATAATTAATGTATAATTAATTAGTCATTAATGTTTAAATAATTTTTTAATTAATTAATAAATCATTTCATAATTAATTTTTTGTTAATTAAAATTTGACTGTAAAATTGGTATATCTTACAAAATTTTGGTTGCATTTACTGTTGTGACAACTTTTTTTATACAATTGAAAACACTAAAAAATTAAATACTAAATGCTCCGTAAAACTCAATAGTTAAAATGTTGGAACTAAATGAATTATTATTAATTTTCCGTATCTCCTTGTCTTTAATTATTTTATTTAATTATAAACTTTTTATAATCTATTTAAGTTGAAATTAAAAATTCACAACAATTCATGACATCCGAAACAAATTTTGTAAGATACTCACAAGTTTGCAGACAAATCCATAGATCCAAAATGTCTGAAATTGAAATAAGTAGAAAGATAATAATTGTTTTATAAGACTATTAAATTTATTTACAAAAAACAATAATTATTGCCACAAAATTTTATAATTATCACGTTCTTTACGCTGAACAACTGCGTCGGGTTTCATTCATTGGACGAAATTGTCCCTGGAAACCGTCTTGCATCTCAATTAATAGGCAGGCCATTTGTACAAAAACCTCCAATTTTTGTGTCCACAATAAGGATTGGCGGAGTCTGCAAAATGCATAAATTTTATGAATACAAAATATGGTTATGTCTCAGGTTAATTTGATGCAAACCCACCTTTTTATTATGTCGGCAGAAATTTAGGAAGCTACAAAATTCTTTTTAACTGCAGACGGTTAGGCTTCATTCCTCAATTTTACTTTTAATCAGACTACCTAAAAAATATAACTGAAAATTAAAAACAAGTATATTTAAACAAATTGATTGCAAATATAATTTAACTTACAAAAAAATATTCTTTTCCAAAAGTCATTCGGCAGCGTGACGGGAAGTCGAAGTCATCCGATTGTCAGCTGCGCTGGCATGACCGCTGACCGCTCTTTTTAATTGTCTCTCGAGAGATTTGCGAGGGCGAGAGAGATTCATCTCCTCACAGGGCAGGTGCAGGGTGGGATCTGGCAATCAAATGTGGCAAAATCCGTCTCGATGCGGCGCGCTGCTCTATCAAATCTGTAAACATGCAATGTAAAAAATATTTTTTTTTTTTTTAAATATGGCACGCGTTTCAATTATCTGCTAATTTCGAATTAAATTCATGTAAAAATCAATTACCTTTTACTTTTCCTTCCAACACGCGGCTTCAGCGCGGCGAGAAGCACAAACGGGGACTCGATCACATCGCGGCCCAAATTTTTTGCCAAAACTCACGGCGCGGCTGCGAAAATGTCGAGTTCCAGCGTCAAACCTTCATTTCCTGCGAGGGCAAACGTTGAGGAAGGCGTGTGGTGACCTTAAGCGTCCGCGAAAGGGCCCATAACCCCCGCGCGGCACTTGCATCGGCCCGAAATTGGACGAAAATCGGCAGTTGTATGAGCGACCCAACCGTTGTCAACAGTCACTTTGTCGATTTTGAAAATAGCGGCTTTCCCCCACCCATTCTGATCACGCGCACTGAAATTTGTCTAATTATCACCAATTAATTTGTCATTGATTATAAATTAATTAATATATATAATTAGAGTAATTAATTAATAACTATTTACCAAATAATGAAATAAAATTATGAACTTAGAAAATTTTCTTCAATTTTGATTAATGAACTAATTAATTATTAATCAATATATCATTACTAAGGGTCAATAATTTTTCATTAGCTAACCTAAAAATTTTAAATTAATTAATGCATTAATTGATAACTATTGACAAAAATTATTAACTTTCAAAATTTTTATTCAATTTTGATTAATGAACGCATCAATTATTTAACAATGTCAAATTAATTGTGGTAATTAATTATTAATTATTTTAAATAAACAATGTGCATCATTATTTTATAACTATTTATTTAATATTTAAAAAAATTATTTGCTTTGGAAATTTTCTTGGATTCTGATTCATGACATCATTAATTATTAATCAATGTATCATCAATTGAAATAAGTAATTTTCAATGAATTAACATAAATAATTTGATTAATTAATTAATAACTATTTATGAATTAATGATAAAAAATTATTATCTGTGGAAAATTTTCAACAGTTCAGATTAATGTACACATTAATTATCCAACAATGTTACATTAATTGAAGTCATTAATTGATTACCAATTAATTATAAATTAATGTGACATTAATTTTTAATCATTAATGACTGATAATTAATTAAAAATTAATGTTCGATGATTTGGCATTATATTTTGCTTTGTGGGAGTTGTTGAAAAATCCGGCCCCAGCGACCATCACTTGTCCATCCAGGCTGGTCGCACAAAGACTTGTCCTTGAAATGAATTATATAAATTTATACTCAATAAAAAAAAAATTAGATTCTACTTTGCAAACGAGATGTCCTTCACCCTGCTCCATTTAAGAGACGTCAGGTCCAATTTGTCGCACCTGGTGCTGGGCGCGCCGTTCTCCGCGCCTCCCAGGAGGTACAGGTCGTGACCTTGCAGCACCACCTTTTGGAATGCCAAGCGTCTGAAGGAATCATCGCCCTGAGGCACACGCAGCTCCACCTTTGGCTGAAAATAAAATTGGTTTTACTGTGTAAATTTTTAAAAATGTGAACCTTGAGCCACTGCTGAGTGTGGAAGTCGAAAATTTGCACCGTGTCGGTGCTGGCCGATGCGTTGCCTTGGAGAACTTTGCCGCCCAAAATCAGAATCAGGGAGTAGGGAAGACGAGGCTTCATGAAGGTGGGAACAGCGCCGGAATGATTTACGCTTTTTGAAACGACGGCGTCGGCTTCGAGGTTCCTCCTTCTGATGATTGTGCAAATATCCGTGGCGTGACCCACCATGGGATTTTCAATAATCTGTTATTTCATAAGAATTATATTTAAATAGAAATTATTCTTCAAAATGAAGAGATCGGGCTTTTCCTCGTTGTAAAAAAATGTTTTTATTCAAAAACAAACGGCTCTTTTGAATAAATACAATCTTTTTGCAACGATCTCTTCATTTCCATGATCATCTCCTCGAGTGTCAACTTCTTCAAAGAAATTATCCTATTTTAAATAAAATGATTTGACTTCTTTTTAATAATTTATACCTCTTTCAGGACGTAGCTGAATGGCAAGAAACCTATTCTCAGGAGCATCGCCAGCTTGGGCACGTCCTGGGCTCTGTCTGCGGCATCACAACCAGCCCAGCTAATAATTAACTCCCAGACGAGTTCCTCCCTTGGCGCGTTGAGTCTGTCGCTGGAGACGAGCGCGGCCATCGTTTTGGCGCTGACGGACTTGAGAACGTCGGCCGAGCGCTCATAACTTATTCTGGCATGCAAATGGGCCCAGCCAAGAGTCTCCAGCCTTTTATCTGGCCATGGTGTGCTGTGGAATGAACAATCTTTAAAATTACAATTATTTAAAATTTAAAATTTATGACTTTTCCGTCTGCACGAGCTGGATGCAGTCGTTGAAGGTGATGATGTTTTTGAAATAGTCGCAACAAATCTGCGCCAAATTATCCAAGCAGAGAAAATCGGCGCCTCTGTAGATGTCGGTCACGGTGAAAGGGTTGAGTTTGTTCAAGTTTCCGGTGTAAATGAATTTGATCAGTTCGATGATTGTCGATGCGGAGCAGCATGGAATTTTCACCGTTATTCTTTCCGAATCAACGTTTTTCATTATATGTTTCTGGGCCCAGATGGCCATCCTAAAAAAATTCTTGGACGAATTTCTCCTAAAAATTCAAATTACGTACTCGAAAAAGGGGCTGGCTGATGAGAGGACTTCCGAGTGCGCCAAAACAAAGCCGCCGTCGCAGCTTTCCACCTCTAAGTCGCATTTTGTTCGCGAACGCTCTTCCCAGAGTTTCTGCCGCGTGAGTGCAGACATTTTGCTCCTTGGTCGATTTTCAAATTTTAAATCGTTGACCGTTAGCAACAATGTGAAAATGATCAACTATGCACAAAAATTCTTTAATATTTCCGATTATTGCAACGGTGCTTGAATGTCTTATAAATTTTACCGCATTGTTGCGTTTTTTCTTTAACAATTTTTATTATCTATGAAATGCCTTTTTTTTAAATTTGTGCTAACATTTAATGTTTGAAATAAAATAATTTAAAATTTATTTTATTACCTCTACATTTTTTGTGTGTACGCAATTAAAAAATATACTAAAAGATTATCCATAATCCGCTTGTCTTTCATGATAAAATCACAATTAACGTTTTTCCAGAACAACCTTTTCTTTTGAGAAATGCTTAAAATCGTCTCAAAAGCCATCTCTGCAAAATAAAAAAATAAACGCCATCCCCGCATACCCAATTTAAATATGCTGCTTCTCACTTAATTTGTGTTTCCTGTGATGCGCCGGCCCGTGTGGCAACTTTGTCCGTTGGAAGAAACGCGCGCGCTCTGTGAAAATTGTGCGGCTCCTCAGCACCTGCCGCTTCCCACATTTGTCAAACATTTTGCGTCTGCTGCTCTTCTTTAACGTAATTATATCTTTCTATACGAGGCATTTAATTTTTTTCCATCCCATTTCAGGATACATAAAAGACACCTGAATTTATTAGCGCGATTCTCCAACCGTCCCAAACGGTTGCCCTCCCTTATAATTTAACAAAAACAGACTTCGACCATTATGCAAGGAAAAGCGCGCTAAAATATTTTTATAATTAAATTTCTTACACTTAAAATATTAATAATAATTATAAAAATAACTTGAGTTATTTTTAATATATTTATGCATCTTATTTTATTATTATTTATTAAAATTAAAATTATTAAAATCAAAATTAATGACCATAATAGATTTTTTACTTTTTAAAATTTCAATGAAAGAGTTAATTTTAATTTACAGAGATAAAACAAAAAAATAAATATAAATACTCCAGTCGCTTTTGGAACTTTTGGAAGTGATAATTGCACAGTTAATATTGTTGCAACTGACTTTGTTAGAAAATAATTTGCAGGAATAATTAGCAACATAAATATAAGATATAATTACTATAATGTTCAAAGATTGAATAATTTCATCCCTTTTGCCTAATTAAGCTCTTAAACTTTCCTGTTATATAAAATAATTCAATTAAATTTTTTAAATAAAAAAAGCTATGAAAATACTTTAAATAATTCGTTAAACACATTCATGGACCATAATTTTTGAAAATCAAGGTTAAAATTAGTTGTATAAAAAACGTAAAACCTTCACTATGTTTTGATATAACTTTTTTATTTTATCTTGAAATCCGATTTCTCGCTTGGCCTCTTTTTTTATTTACTTTTCGGCTTGACAGCGTTCTTCGGTGGCTCTTTTCTGCCGAGAGAAAGATGTAATTGCGTGTTTGAACATCCTCTATATTCTGTTGGCGGCGTGTAGATGATTTTAAAGTGATTAGCGCACCTGCTGATGCGCGCGCGGCTGTCTCTCTTTTTGTGTAACGTCCGCAGCAGCTTTTTCTCTTATAAAGGATAACAAAGTCGCTCTCTTGACGACCGCCGAACAATGCATCAGCCCGCGAATAAATGTGTATAGCGGTGGCGTGGCGCGGTCATTATTATCATTTCGTTCGTTTTCTTCTTCCGCTCACCACCGGATGCATCCGCGCTGCTCTTTTCTCATCTCCGGTGCCAAGAAGAAGCTTTTTTACCTAACAAATTAAATTGTGCTCAAAGGTTGCGACTTGACATCCAGGGGGAAATTATTTGTTTATCAACCGACCCTATAAAAATCAAGTGCTGTGAGTTTGGATTATGAAATGACAAAAGAGTGGAAATAAAAGTTATTCTCACACTATGTTTTTTCGGTTTTTTCATTGATATTTAATTTTATTTTCGTCTATTTACGCAAAACATGATTTTAATTTCAAATAAGGAGAGTAGAGAATGGGTGGGTCCGAATATGAGAGAATTGATTCGCGAACCGATTCTCGAGAATTGATTCTTGAGAAGCGATTCTTGAGAAGTGATTCTCGACTATGGTTAACTTCGAAAAAAGTAAAGTTTGGCGAGCAGTTTCAATAAAATAATTAATTTTTAAATGTTTTAAACAATTATTTGTCACTTTAGGTGATTTGTTTAATCAAAATGCACGCCAAACTTTACTTTTTTCGAAGTTAACCAAAGTCGAGAATCACTTCTCAAGAATCACTTCTCGAGAATCGCTTCGCGAATCAATTCTCTCATATTCGGACCCACCCATTGAATAATGATGAATCTCCAAATTAAAATTTATTTTTAAATCTACAAAAATCAGCTGTAAATGGGACAAATTGGTCTTGTTGCTTCTCAAAGTCATTAAGTTGATTTTGCAGGTTTTGTTATTTATAAGAATTTTGTATTCAAAAAAGTAAATTTTTCTGATGAAAATAAAATCAAATGTCCACAAACTTATCACAAATCATTTAGATTGCACAGCTTGGAAAAAGAAATAATTAAATTCATTATTTTTACTTAATTTATTTTATGAAGATTGCAAGTTACACTTTGAAATTATGATTCATGAAAATCATCTCATTTTATTGTAAATTTTGACGTGTAGACAAAACTGAACGGCCAATTAAACTGGCCTAATTAACTGCAAACGCTTGGCCGTGACAAAGTGCGTGAAATTCCCAAGCAATCGAATTATATAGAGCTGCGGTGTGGATCGAGCTTGAGTTGGGCGTGAAAAAGAAATGTTGGAAGCCCGCAATGTACCTGGGACGATGGATGCGATGATGGCAGGAGACACCGTTGATTGATCACGGATAATTCATTGACAAGAAGCCAAACGCGGACCAAAAACGTTACACGGCTCAAATCTGGCAGCAGCTCAGTAAAAAAGGGTTGGGTGTTTGCCCTGATGCCCTCGGATGCATCTCTCGCGCGGACGGCTGAGATGATTTCAAGCCAAGCGACGCGGAAACAGAAAACGACGAGAGAGTAATTTGAGCAGCATCTCTAATGACGCATGATTGAGCTCTCTGTTTTGCTTCTGCCCTTTTGAATAAAGAAACTTTTGTTTCTTTGAAAACCAAGCTTTTTTGGTTATGAATTGGATTTATTTTAATGGTCAAGCTCTTCATCATTGATCATTGCTGGGATATCAAAACGATTTGTAAATTAAAAAGCCCAGTGAGGAAGATTTGGCTTTAAATTTGATTCACCACATCCTCGATCCTCGATTGTGATTGTTATTTATATAATTTTATTTTAATTAAATGATAAGAATAAAGAAATTTGTACCTCATTAAATTACCAACTATGCTATTTTAAGATTTTTTTTCTTTCATATTATTCAGTTTATAGTACATAATGCATTCTCAATGATAAATTTGTGAAAGCACTCGTTAGAGAGGTCATATTGTAACCTCTGCTTTAGAATAAGTTTTAAGTTAAATAAAAATTTAAAACTAAAGTTTCGATAATTTAAAATAAAATTGTATTAATCAAAAATTTTAATAAATCTAATAATCATTAAAAAAGAAATTATAATAATTTTATTATTTTAAAGTAAGTATTAAAAATATTTTTTTTTTAATCAAAATAAATATAAAAAATCTATAAAATTATTTTTAAACATTTATTTTTAAATATTTTAGTAATTACTGCACTAAACAATTTACTTATGTTAATTTAATTTAATTGGGACACATTTTTACTATAAATTAATATGAATTTAAAGATGCTTCTTGTTCTTTATAAGCAAATAAATTATTAAATTGTTATATACAATTATTTTTGTCTAATTTAATAAAATCTAATTAAAACTATAAACAAAAATTATATATTAATAAAATTAAAAATATATCTCTACGGCATGGCGAGGTGTGATAGGAAGTATTAAAAACAGTGCAGTCAAATTGAAGTGATAACATGACCAATTTCCACAGAGAACTCAATTAAAGCGATAATATCATTTTGTTTTATTTCATACTTTTTGCTTTTTTTATTTTTTGGTGGCGACTTTTTGTGGTAAATGTCCGGTGAAATTAGACAAATTACTTTATAATTTTAAACCGCTTTGATCACAAGAGGGTCTCTGGGCGCTAACACGAATTTTAGACTCGCGCCCACCTTCCGACGTGCACTTTCATGTTTAATTAAAGCTACATTATATTTTAGAGAAGAATGCGAGCGAGCGCGCGAATAGTGGTGCTGCCGTTTGTGCTGCTGAATAAAGAACTACGCCCTTATTCTGGTATGCAACTCACAAAGCGAACCTCGCGTGTTGTTTTCTTGCCAACTACATTTGCATACGTTTTATTAAAGCCATGCGGTTATTACACACTATTTTCCTTTCTTTATTATTACACCGCGCACAGCAGCAGCCAAATAGAAATTATGAAAATCTAAAAGAAACGGAGGAATCTCATTAATCTATCTGCGGAGATGAAAAATGTTTTTATGTTAATCGATGCGATAAATTTCTCTCTCAATCATCTCGCATTGGTTACATAATACAATTAATAATCTTCTAAATTATCTGGTAGTGAAGGGCAATGGGTAGATAAAATCCAATTATGGGCAGCAATTGCCTTTGTCATAGATCAATGGAACAGAATTTGCAAACACTAACAGCTTTATTGCTAAACCTGGCGTACATGTCAGTTGACCAAAGGCAAATAAATATTATTCAATTATTATTTTAACATTTGTCTTCAAACTGCTTTTTTCCAAGTCGATCTGCTTGTTTCATAAAAAAGATTTAATTTAAATTAATAATTAATAAATTATAAAAATAGCTTCTAACAACTAAATATTATAAACAAATTTAAAAGTTAAAAATATAGTAAGTTAAAAGTTATTAAAAATAAACCACTATTGTAATTTAAAAAAATTAACACTAAAAAAAAGATGATCATTGAAAATAAATAGATGGGGCTTTTGCTCCTTGTAAACATTAA